GTGAATGGCATGACGTTTGAGGGCACGAGTCGTACCAAACAGAGGGCCCGACACGAGGCCGCCCGACACGCCATCCAATACTTCTCACAAACGGTTCCACTACTGCCTGAACCCACACTCTTAGCCCCACACGACTCCCGGTTCCGCAACCGTTACGATCACTACCATCGATATCAGCCCTACTATAGGAGTCATGCGATTCGAGACATACCTTTCCATAGACGAGCCGATGTCCAGCCTTATAGTCGGCCACCACTTGGACCTCAAGAACCGCAGCCATCAGGCGGTGATGATAGACCTGTCGGCCAAACTGTAGAGGCAGTGGAACCTAAAGCCGATGCTAATCGGCGTCTCACCGATGACTTTACCGCCGATGACTTTACCGCCGATGACTACACCGCCGATGATTTCGTTGAGTTCTGTGATAATAAAATCGACGAACAGTTGGAAGAGATGTTCACCTCAGAGGACACGAGTGAACAACACGTGACTAATCGTAAGGAAAGGATAATACTGAGGGTTACGGGCGATTCGCCGGCCAATCAGAACCCGGTGTCACTGATCCATGAGCTGCAGCCCAACGCCAAGTGGGTGTGCACTGAGCTCAACACCGGGCGCTCCCACTCCTCGTCCTTTGAGATGCGACTACTGTTACCGCTCGCCAACGAGTGCTTCACTGGCGTCGGGCGCACCAAAAAGTTGGCCAAATGTGAGGCCGCGTCCAAAGCGTTGCTTCAGATGTACAACATTTCGTTGAGTCCTCCCAATGACACCGCTTCGGGACATATTCAGCACAGGAATACTGTACACATCGCTCAGGAGCCTCTGGTTCTCAAACAGGTATATCTCTTGTGCCGTCCAGTAGTGGAATCAATCAATTGTTGTTTTGTATGGTTAGGACATCGCCGATAGGATTGGCAGACAAGTGATGACCAAATGCAGTGAAATTTGGGATAAATTGGTTGAACTCAAGAAATGGACAGTACTTTCAGCGATTGTATTGACTGATGAAACAAACGCAGAGTTTGTTGATGTGATATGTATGACGAGTGGCACAAAATGCGTTAAAGGGGACAGCCTTTCGATGAATGGTTCGGCACTCAATGACTGTCACGCGGAGGTATTATCCAGACGCGCGTTCGTGTCCTATATTTACGGCCAAATTGAGAGTCTCGTTGATAATAACTTCGAAGGTTTGGCTTATAGTCTGATAAAAGCTAAACAAAATCAATATCTAAACAATTGTCTGAATACTACGATCAGATAAACCGGAACTCATTGTAGAGAGACGTGTGGATGGGTTTGGGTTTCGTTTAAAGAAACACATAAAAGTCAATCTATTCATCAGTACCGCGCCGTGCGGTGACTCCCGGGTCTTCAGTCCCAAAGAGGAGGTGAGAGACGACAGACATGACTAGCATTTTGTATTGACTGCTCATAACTTGCTTATTGTACGCGTAATAGGAAGGCGACGCTCACCCCAACAGACAGACCAGAGGTTTGTTGAG